GGAAGCTGTATGCCCAAATGTCCATTTAAGCAAACATAGCCTTTTGGCAGTGCAGATACCCACTAGAAAAAGGAGCAGTGAGTGGAATTTATAGCAGACCATTGAAGCTGTTGGCATTAAGTTACACAATTTGTTTAACTGATATGATAATATTCATATGACCTAATTGCAAGATAAACAAATGTTTAGGAAATACACAGCTCTTAAGATGGATAGTGAGCTATTAACTGAAAATTATTATTGTAATTTAAAAGCACCATCTGTGTTCATCACACTAATTCATTTTCTTCTATCATCCTAATTCAGAAAAAATGGAAACAACATGACATTTTCAGTGTGCAAAAATGATCTGCTCATAAGCAGAGCAAACAGCAGCCTAGGAGAGTGCACTAGAAATGATTCAGTGAATTATACCAGATAACATCTGAGAGAACCATGATATGCTTTCTGAACATATAGAAACAAGATGGAATTCAAGAAATAAATTTTTCAGTGTGAACTGGTCTGCTAGCTGTACTTGAAAGTTCAAAAAAGAATAAAGTCTAAGCAATGCTACCTCACCAAAAAGTTCTCCAACACCGCAGTAAACACAGACAAAAGATTTCGGCATTTTGTTCTTTGTTGTCATATCAGAAGCAGTTGTTCAGTCTATGCAAATCCACTGCTCTTCAAAATTTGGGACTGGGATTCGTCTCACCTAGCTTTAGACATTTGCAGTCTCGACAGCTACGTCTGAGCCCAGCACCTTTGGCTCGCTTTGTACTCAAAGGAGAGCAATAGGTAATCTAGAGTGCAATTCAGCTGTCCTATTTAGGAGGCCTAATTTTAGGTTAAGATGAATCACATTCCAGAAGTGTCTATGTCTCTCCATCAACTAGAAAGGGAGCTCAGATATGAAGTTTCTGCATCTTATTTTTTCTCAGTGAACGCCGCTTTAGAAACTCTGAATCTTAATGCTTGCAGACTTGATTTTATACTGTGTAAAAAGGGAGAAAAACAAAGTTAAAAAAAAAAAAGAAATCTGGAGGCTAAAACAACTTGAGACAGCTGAAGGTAATATTAAATCATCTGGAGCAAAGGTAAGCTAGCACTTAGTGTCACATTTACAGAAAAGGGAATTCTACCTGAAGAGTCCTTGGAGGGGTTTAATTTCTGCTTAAGACTGCCCTGTCATCAGGGAAGCTTCTCCCGCGGCCATGCCATCGACCTCTCAGCTACTAGGACTACCAGGAGCAATTCTGGCTTCTTTCTGCATCATCATTAGTGACAGGCATGTTTTGGATAAGGCATCAGCTGAATGGCACAACAAAGGGCATAAACAATCAAAGCCCTTCAGAAGCTTGCTTTACAAATTTTCCATAAATCTTTTTTAAATCATCAGTCTAATTCCATCAGCCCAATTTTTTCGCCCCAAGTTCCTCCTACCTTGAACACAAATAAATAAGAGGAGAACTGGGTCTGTTTCGTTAAAGATTTTTCATGGATGAGTTTTGCATTGTATATGGTAAAAACCCCTGCCTTTTTCCCTTCTTCGTATAGACACTACAGAAAAAACGTCTCAAGGCAAAAAAAGGGCTGACCACACTCCTATAGCTCCTGAATGCTGTAGCCACCTCTGTGCATGGAAGGTACAGATGACAGATGATGCTCCATAGCTGGGACTGAGGGAGGATTAAGCACAGCAGAAATACTGAGCATAGGGCCTCCTGTGGCCAAAACCTGTTGAAATGGAAGTGTAATAGATCCTAATAAAGTCCTTTTCTGGATAGGAATGAAGCTAAAGAACAGATTACTGTCCATAAGAAGAAACTGAAATCCCAGAAATTGCATAATTAAGACTATTCTTAGGCTACAAGTAAGGCACACTAGTGTCCTGTTGCTGGGGGAGATGTTTCTATGTGACAGCTCTGCTCCTGTCTTTACCAAACTATGTCCTTTATATGAGAAATAGGCCAATATGATTGAATTTTACAAACCAAGGCATGTATTTGCGCTGGCTGTCAGCATTGTGGTTCTGGGTTTTCTGCCTGTAGCTGCTGTGAAAACTGGATACTGCAACCCCACCAGAGCCAGGGGAACCGAGTCTCTTGCAGTAGTTAGTCCAGCCCAATGAACAGCGAAAAACATTTTCTCAGCGGGGAAAAGGTTGTCCTTGTGCTTTTCATTCTTTTTCAGCCAAAACACGTAAAACATAGTTCTTCTGATACATAAAGTACAACTATCAGTGACAAATGTCATTCCCCTTATCTTCTTCCCATCTTACATTCTACACAGGCTATTCTATTTTACGACACTCAGATAAAAGGTCCTGTTATTCTTTGAATTGCTGTAAAACTGAACAGTCTCCGTGTGTTCAGAGTAGCTTGCAATTAGCATACCTGATCTTAGAAAATTCAGTCTATTAAAAATATGGACATATTAAAGCACAGCATCTGGAAATCTGCATATGTTCATCTCACAGTGGGCTTCAAATGCCGGAGTCAAATAAAGACTCCTAGACATCTCATAAAAGAGCTTATATATGTCACCACTCAGATGTAGAACTTCAGGGTATTTTCATACTTTCTTGGAAAATATTATATTACTTCACACTTACCTTTTATGCTGTTTTCATTTGAAAAAGATGAAGAAAATATGAAGATATTTTTTAAAAAGCTAAGGTTTGCTATTACATAATCACTCTGTTGGATTTTGTAATTTTCCTTATAGCCACAGCACCAATAAAACCATGAAGATAAGAATATGAAAATTTTAACGCAAACTAAGATGTATTTTGCCATGCAAATTGTCTCATTTTGTGAAGTTTCCTTCAAACCAAGGGCCTTCTGGAGAGCCATTTCTGCTTAAATGCATTTTTATTCTATCCTATAAAAAGTGAAAGAAGTAGTGCTTTCATAGCAATATAAAGTAAAGATTAAGACTGGGCTTATATCTTTTTCAAAAAAGAAAGTCCTGCAGTGGACCGCATAGTTTTCCTCTTCTTATAACTGCCAAGGCAAAGACAGGTCTCTGTTTTATCCAGATTCTCGTTTAAACAAATACGCTGCAGTAGCTGAGGGCTGGTTTCCATTTTAATAGCAAGTATTCTGTCAATAACAACCTTGCACATGAACAGGAGTTTTTTTTATTTATATTAATCAAAGTAATTGAATCACAAAATTTACTGCTGACAGTAGGACATTGTCCTGACATTGTCCTGACACAGGACAATGGATTCTAGCAGACCTGAAGTGCTTTTGGAAATGGCAGTACTGAAGTAAAAAAAAATTAATTATTCACTGTGTTGCGTACAAGACTTAAAAGCAATATTTGGTAACAGAACAAATGCAGCTCAGCCTCTTCACTTGTCTATCTGAGGGATGAATTTGGCCCAAAGGATGGGACTTGGTTCACACCTCTTCTGTAAGATCAGGTGTTCATAGGTAGGGAAGGTGGCTGAACACTGTAGCCAGTAGAGATTTAGGATAGTTGCATCATGCCCATGGTCCAAGCAAATACGAAACATGATTTAGGAAAGATCTGATCCTTTCTGCATAGAGCTGCTGAGGCCAGGAGGGTATCACAGGCCATTGCAAACATCTTGAAAACCATGTTTAGACAGTTTCTAAATCAAAAGAGTAAGTGATGCTTGACTGAGCAGATGCACTTGCCCACTTTAGGACAGGGTGAGTCACCCTCTAGATTCCTTTGGAGGCTTTGAGCAGTTCCCCATTGACTATAGGATTATAGTGGGATCTTAAACATCTAGCATATAGGAACATACATACATTGAAGATGCCTAGATGGATGCATCTGAAGGCAGCTAAATGACTCCAGAAACACATCTATTTTTTATCTAAATATAGAGAAAGCTTACCACATTGGCTTAGACTGGATACCTGATACAGAGACACCAGCAGTGTGAGTTGAACCACACACTCTTAGCTTGCCTTATACTTCCCAGTTTAACATAACTGCTCTTTATATCAGGCACTCTTCATGTAGAAATGAGAGAAGACAACATTGTTATGCTATTCTACATCAAAAATATAATGCAAATATTGCCTCCTACCAGGTACCAGAGCAAGCTTGGTTCAAAAAATCCAGAAGCTGGTTCAACCCTCATGTCTGTGCTGGTACCAGGAGTCTGAATCTTTGGTTTAGAGACAAAACTGGCAAAAAAATGTATCTAAATGCCATTAATATATTTGTTAGCTGCAAGTTGAGTTTGTAGATGTTATTCCATAATAATCATGGTTTCATTGTGTAAAAATATATGTGTAATCAAATTTTCTTTTAATCATAATATATCTATTGCCAGACTTTTTGTTATTATGAAATACTTCCAAAAGAGTAGTCTGCTTCATGTGATTTTCACCACTGAAAATAATCAGGAAAACCTGGAAGATCTGTTATTTGACATCTTGACTTTAGTTACTCCCCACATACTGCATTCGCTCTCTCATAGACCTGACCAACTAAGACTCTTTTTATCTAGATGTTGAAAACTTGATGGAGTGCTGAAGAAGGTCTGTTTATTCAGAGGGTTTGGCAGATGAAACTACTTAGACCTCAATGACTCCGCAATCTGCTGTTTGCAAACGAGAAGTCTGAGTGGCAACACATATTCTCCATACCCCACATATCTTGGTAAAATCATTTCAGTTTTTCTTCACAATCTTCAGCAATACTAATCTGATGCTTCAGCTGTGCTCTTCCCATGTCATAAATATTTTGACAGCATCCTTTAGCGTATCTCAATCTCAAATCTCACTCAATTTCGTCTGTCATTTACAGGCATGCTTATAATGGCTCATTTGCTTATAATGAGTAGATTCTATGCTTTCAGTAACAGGAGTAATTAGAGAATACCAATATGGCCAGAAAGCAGAGAGGAGACAAAAAAGGAACATGAAAGGCAGGAGGAAAGTAAATCATAGAAAGAGAGCTATGGAGATCACTTTACCCTTTCTTAGAAAAATGAAGCTGGGACAAAAGTGATGAAACTGAGAGGCAGAAAATTTAAAATTAGAACTGTTTTTTCTTGCAGGTTTCAATAACCAAAAGATGCTCTTAAATATGATTTTCCATGTTATTTCTCTGTGTGTCTGGTCTTCAATGCAGAGGTGGTTTCCAATCCTTTTGAAAAGCTGATTGCATCCTTAGGCACCTTTTGCAAAAGATGATAAAAAGAATGCGTTAGTTTGGCTTAGATATCCACATGTTTAGTAAAATATTATGTGTGGTTCACAAAAAGAATCTGAATAATAACTAAGGAGATGTTTCATCAGCAAACAGGAGAAAAAGCTGTAAGAACATCTTTACCAGTGTCTAGTGCTGACTGATGTAAGAGATGGCCTATAGTACTGAATAAGCAATACTCTGTTTTTGTTTCTTATTCCTGTTCACTGGCAGAACTGCCAGTGGCATGACAAAGAAAAGCAAGAAAAACCCAGTTAGAAATGATTCTCTGGAGTCTTCAGCCAACCACTTCGCTAAGGAATAGGTCATCTGAGAGCAAAAAACATTCCTGCTCCTTGCAGCATTACTGCAACTACTGATAGAGTTATATGTCCTTGCTATCTATTTTCCAGTATGGGGTTTTTGATTTTTCTGGGCAGTTGCAGCATGTTTTGAAATTTAAAAAAAAAGAAAATGTTTTACTGACTGCTTGCTGAAAGTGTAGCAGAAGGCTAGATTTTGTGCTTACTTCTATAAGGAAGTAAGTAAACACAAAGTGCTCCTCCCCTGTATTTTCTGCACCAGCAATCAAGTTCCTGGGCAATGAAACACAAAAATTTGCAAGGTTTCCTACTACTTACCCATTCTTACACCAGGAAAGAGGGTGCCATGTGGGACAGATAGAGCACTGGATCCATGCTTTGACTACCCACCCTAAGAAATGAACTATCAAAACCTAGATTTATTTGCTGCGCACTATATTTATTCCCTCTGCTTTCAGTAACAAGGAGGAATTATGATTCCATACATCAAAGTGAATGATAGTAGCTCTGGCACCATAGATTTGGTGTGTTGCCCCTACTTCGTGCTATGCCTGAAGTCTGGTTCTAGCTCGTTGGGATGGGTTTGCAATGTCTCCATCTTCTGCCCAGTTTCAGGAGCCATACTTAAGCAATAACAATATTTAAAAGAAACAATTTATCTAAATAAATTAAGGGCTAATTATCGTACATATGAATTCGTGAAGCTGGGTGTCATGTGCTGTCAGTAACTTTTTACCTTGATTGGACAATGACAAGTTGTGGAATTATATCAATACTCCCCAGGGTAACAAAAAAACCCCAAACCAATCCAACCAAAAAAACCCCACTGCAGACATATTCAGGAAATTTTAACTGGGAGACTTTTGAAATTGGAATAAACAAAATTAAAGGAATTTACAAAACTCTTTAGAGGGGCAAGTTGACCTGAGCTACATAAATTTTAGACATATATATATATCATCACATATAGATATTACATTCACATACAGATTTGTAGAGCAAATTACCCGTGAGTATAAAATGCTTTCCTATTTCCAGCATGATGGTGGAACAGATAATGATAGATTCCTACTCCTGAAGTGGGAAGACAAAAAAGGGTGATGAAACTGAGCACACGGTATAAATATGTTATACTTGTAATTAATAAGAAATATAAAATATGGAGTCATACTTACTATCACATTTTGAATGAAAACAATGTTGCTTCATAGCAAAGAAAAATCCAGCTTTAGGTTTACTAAAAAGCATGAACAACATGTCCTAAGAAATTAAGCAAGAAATTAAAAAAAGTTTAAAAAAATTCCTTGACTTGTTTTCATCTCCTTATTCCGTATTATTGAATAAGTCACAAATAAGCATTAACCCTCTGCTAACACAGTTCTGAGACAATGACTGCCATGTGTTGGATGCATTATTCATACATATTACACAGGCTGGGACAACTGAGCACACACTGTAACATGACCTAGAGGAAAAAATGTCTTTAGCAGTGTTGCTAGGAGAGGCTTCTGCAAGCAAACTATGACTGTCAAAATTATTTACCTCATCACAATCGATATTTCTATACTTAGAAATCTGAATCAATTTAATTTGTGGATTTTATTAGCAAACCCATACAGAGAATTATATATTTTGAATCATAACAAAAAGTTCAACACTGAAGACAGTAAACTGATCTTTAGGATACAAAAATATCTCAGTTCATCTGTAAATCTGAATTAAGTACATGGAACTAGTATCCTGTGATCCTGAACTCATTTTTAATGAGTCAAACAGCAACAGTGCAGCTTCCCATAGTTACTATATTATTATGATGATTTCTTTTACTGTCTCTGAAGATGTGTTTCAACTATATAAGCTACAGCAAAGACACAGTTCAGCTCCAGAATGCTTGTAACATCTAACACAAAGACATGGGAGAGATGTTCTCCTGGAATTAACAAAGCAGGAAAACAGCTTGGCTTCCATTAAATCCCTTGTTGGGATGAAACATTAATTCAGTGATCAAACCACTCCTGATCTCAGCCTGTGGGACCATGTGGGTCTCCATAGGAGTCTTCTCTCCTGTCCTGCCATATAGGTCTGTTGGAAAAAAGAGGGAGCTGATGAGGGAGCTTCCATGAAAGAACTTTGCAGAGACGGGAATAAAATAACTGACGACCCCTCCCTGCCCAGAGGGAAGCTCTCATGTCTGTGTTTCTTCTCAACACTTCTGAGTTCCCAGCACCCACTGTTCTCTAACAGTAGTAAAGCTGAGCAGCTGTGACCTGCTGTGGATACCGCCCCCCCCAGCAGCACCACACTGTCCTGCCCTTGGCTCCGCAGCGCGCTCCTGGCTCATCCGTGCATTCTGGGGAAAGGAAATTTCCCCCAGCAGAGATTTGCTCAGATAATCATGATGGGAATGATCCCTCCAAAGGCATGAAAGTGACATTTACTGGTGTTATTGTAAAGTGTACACAGGGGGTATGGAGAAAGGTACCAGAAACTACTGAGACAGATTGAAGGTTTTTGCTAGAAAATACAAAAAAACCTCTCAGTTTACACAAACAGCAAGAGCAGGCAAACACTACACCTTTTTGTAATATTAACATATGATTTTTCTGACTTTTACTTAAAGAGCAAAAATATTGCTTAAACCTCTGCACTTGCCCACCACATGCAGAGAAACATTCAATCTCTGGAGTGCCATTACCACCACTATTGCTTTTCACCGGAGCATGTGCCAGGGAGGAACACGGCACACAACGGTGGTTTTTTAGCTTTCTGTTTTTCTAAATATGTGCAGAATAAGACATTCATTTCACAAGCCTATGCTGTGCCCTAATAAATACTGTGCAATTTGAAGTTTTAGCACTTACGCAAACAACGGTTGGTTGAAGGAGATATTCACATGGGGCTTGATTATAGTGTTTTATCACTCAGCTGAACATCTAATGTTTAGCACAGTAGTTGGAGTGCTTCTTTTCATGTTATAACAAAGATTGCCCTCTGATAGTAATTACAGCCTTCCTGTAAAGAAAGGCATTTTAGAACTGCCTGAAAAGTTCATAAGCTAGAGATGAAGCTTGGAGAAAGAGTTTGCCATCACTTTGCATGTGGCAAGTAGTTTGGTGCTTGAGCTGTTGTCCAGAAAAATGACAGAGCTGCCTTGAAAACATTTCCTCAGAGCTGGAAACATTAAAAAAACCACTACCTGAGGAATAAGAAAGTCTCTACGATTACAAAAAAAAAAAAAAATCACAACAAAGTTAATATTTCTGTAAAAAAAGTACAAAATCGATGTGATGAATTATTATATGATCTTTTTTAGAAATGTAGAAAGGCATAGTGATGAGGAGACATAGAGCAAAGCACATGCAGCAAAATACATTCAGAACAAAGCTGCCCATACACAGCACTCACAGCTTTGCCCTGGAGCAATGAGCTAAATTTTCTAGTGACATTTCTGAATGCATCTTATTGGGGTTCTCATGACCTGCTAATGGTATATGTCTGTGCTTTTTGTACTTACAGCATAATAATCAGTTTAATCAAAATAATTTGGAGAGTTTTATGCAGTTTAGGGCACTAAATTACAGATATGCATCTCTCTCTTCTGTCTTTGAGAACTCCATGTCAATCATGGTTCTGATCTTTTGGGTTTATCTTTTCCTTTTCTGACTTTCAAAACTTTTTATCAGTGGCCAGCAACTTCAGTGGTACCTTATTAATTGCAACAAATGGAACTGTTAGTTTTACCTTTGTAACTTACGAGGGATTCTCTTTTATTTTAAAGTAGCAGTGGTATTAACAGTTCAAAGGCCCAAACTTTATCATCTTCTTCATAGTTGGAGAGGACTGTCCATGTATAATTTTATTTTCTGTGCACTGCTAAGTACAAATTTTCCTGTTTCTCTTAGCTGGGTAATATTTTTTTTTATTTTGCTGTCTGTCTCCTTTCCCTATAGAGATTAAATTACTAAATATGCTTTTCCAAACCCTATGTGCTGTGTAAGCTCCTCTCTATTGCCATGGTTTTGCATTCACCTTTTTCTGGATTGCAACTTTGTTTTCAAATTAAGGTGTCAGATTTTGACATATTTCTATGTGAATAAACTGGATTTTCATGTTCTGTGGTGCCTAAGCAGTGACACTACATCATGGCAGGTACTATTTGATCACAAAATTAGAACTTACTACCCTTTTCAAAAACATGCCTTCTCTCATGCACAGCTTCCACATCTCCTGCTAAAGCTAGGAGATGTAGTTCTGCACTAAACTGATAAGCTTTTATGGCTTGATGCTGCATTTCATGCTTAAATAAGCATTACTTTATTAATATGTGTGGTCACAGAGATAGTTTGACACCCTTTAGGAAATTTAATGGTGCTTTTCTCTGTGCTGTGAAGGCTGAAATATTCACCCTTCTGTGGTTAGGTAGCAGATGAAAAGTATTTTCAAATGTTTTGAACCAGTCAAAAATGTACCACAAGAAACATCCAAAGGGGAGGAATGAAGGGAGGAGGAACATAGGTTGTCCTGTCAGAAACAGCCTAAGATGAAGCCTGTTGGGAAGCAAGGCATATTTTTCTTGTACATCCTTGAGCCAACAAGAGTTCTTGTATGATCCCTCATCCAAGCTGATGGCACGTGTTCCCAGCTGCAAGACTGGGAGGAAGGGAGAGAACAGCTGATACACTGGATTTGTGACATGTGGGAGAACAGGAATAAGGAGGAAAAGCAGAACCTTCCCACCAGATTTGCAGCATCCCATTTTCAGGTATTATCAATATTATCATTTGGGAACCTCTGACTTTCAGATATGGACACATGCATATGCATATGTATGTCTGCATGTGTAAAGTCTTGGAGATACTGAGCTGCTGTTTGCTGGGCAGTTTGGGGCTAGTGCAGAAGTCCATCCCCATCACCACCACTGTGTCTTGCAGTCTCCAGATGTTGGGTGGCAAGTTTATGGGGAAGAAAATAACAGCCTAAGGCAGCAGATTGCCGATTGCAGCCTTTAACACTGTACATGTGTGGTCAAGCAAAGGTTTGGTTTTGCTGCACTGTGGTGGGTGTTGTTCATGTCCCTGCACAGCTACTTGCCTTTAGAAAATTGCACAGATTATTTCTAGGCTTCAGGAAGCTCATTGCAGTGGTACCCTCTGTGCCTTGCTTGGTGTCTGGTCCTGATGGCTGACTTTGCCAGCATCTCACTGGCTGAAAAGTTGGTGTCTGCTTGTTGGAGGTGTCCCATACCTGCTCAGGTTACACACAGGCTGACACAGTACAGCCACAGCCTACTGTGCACTCTCATCCCAGTCACAGGCATTGTCCAAAGTAATGCTCTGCAGTACTGTGCATCATTACAAAGATTTTATTTTATATTATTCTATGTGCTTCCAAATAATCAATAACCATTCTTGATAATTTGGAAATACATTTGTATGTGAACATACACATATATGTTTGTATACACCAGGCCTTGATATGCTAGGGGTTTTCTTCACAGATAGCCCTCTAATACCTACACAAATCTTTTGCCCCAAAGCTGTTGTTCCCACGTGAAGACACATGGTCGTAGGACAGTGTACTTGCATCCTTCCTGCTGGAATGCTTTTTCATGCCTGTTGCTGTGCATCAATTCCCAGTGGGTCCCCAGGCCCTCAGGTGGTGCAAGGTGTTGCTCACACTGAAGGTGGCTCCCAGCAGTGACACACACATCTGGAGCAACTCTGTCTGTCTCTGAGTCCACCTCTCTCTGAGGTGGACTGTGCTCATTTTATGTGGAGCTGAGCTGACACATTGCAGTGTCTGCAGTGGTTGGTGATGTGATTTGATGACTTGAGGAAAGTCCTCCACTTGTGTATTCTCACATAAACATGGAATCTGACTAATCCAAGAGCATTTGCTGGCTTAGGAAGTCCTCCTCCTGACCGTCATGTGAAGGATTAGCTGGTTTAGGGACATCCTCTCAGCTATTGAATCAATCACCTCCAACATAATTCTGAGCAATCCATTGTTTTTTGTTTGGTGGTTTTGTTTTTTTTTGATAGAATAGATATATTTGAGGCAGAAAAAGTATATCT